TTACTCTGCGGTTTTAATGAAAGAGATAAAGTTTTGGTCACAAAAACGGCTCAACTCAAATAGCAACATCTCCATTTCGACCAATTGTGGAAAACCTCAGTGAAAAAGGAACATTAGTCAAACTGACACTAATTAAATGAGATACTGAAAAGCATTACACAGTAGTGGGGCGGCTGTGCATTCACTTATTAAATGTACTTTTCAGTTATCAGTGGCTGCCAATGTTCAAAATAATACAGTCAGATGATTCATCCATAATAATACTAACAAGTCCACGTGACAGAAGAATATATCCACACACAAATTCCATTTACATGGAATTACAAATATTCTGAAGTTCTAAACATCTAAATAATACATTTTATGTTCATTTGACTCTTGTATGTAACCATATTTTGGATATAATTCAAGTTAATTTCTGTCACAAACGCTAGTCTGGATCAATTGTTGTAATTATATCTAGTTTTTACAAAGAGAACAAAATCATTTTGATGTCTACCTAAAACAAGAAAGTTTCCACTGTACCATGTGACAGTTTTCATAGCCACAGACTGACCAATGAAAAGTTCAAGTTAATCCCACACAGCGTCCAGTTAAGCTGAGGACTCAGGGAATATGTCACAGTCGGGCCAAAAAAAGGAGCGAGAGGCATCCCAACCCGAGAGACCTAACCTTTCTGTGTCTTCCAGCTTAAACATGGAGGATCTGACCGTCTCACCTGCTCCACAGGTGACACTGCACTCTGTCCAGGAGCCGAATTTCCAAAAATGGCGAGCGGTCTGGACGCTGCTGTCCCCCGAAACGTCTCTGCTGATGGTGTACTCGTATCTCACTCCCGGATTAGCCTCCTGAAAAAGAAGCTGAAGCAAAAGAGACATTATTTTTTTCTGATTTAGCCCCTGCTGTTCCCCTACGGTGGCTGAGAAGTGCAAAACACATTTACAATAAAAAAAAAACCTTGAAAAATTAAAAAACAAAATAACATTGTAAGATACACATTCACAATTAAAGAAACACATCCATCCATTTTGTGAACTGCTTATTCCCAAATCGTTGACATTAACAAATGAAAAAACAATATAGCATTTCAAGAAACAAATTCATTTTTTAGGAAACAAACATTTTTGAAAAAAATTGTTTCTTAAAATGTTATGTTTTTTTAATTCGTAAATGTGTTTTCTGTTTACTTTAAATGTGTATCCTAAAATTTTATTCAGCTTTTTCAAATCATAAGGTGTTTTTTAAATTGTAAATGTGTTTTGCACTTCTCAGCCACCGTAGTTCCCAGCCTCCGTTAAAAAAGACCTAGAAGATTGAATTAAACAGGACAGAGCGTAAAAGATCAATAACAGTGATTCGTACCACTGGAGAAAGATACACAGAAGTAAACGGGGATTTTCAAATATCGTGACGTGCCGAGGCTTCTGTTTCTGTTTCGGTGTGTACACATATTGGCATTTTTGTTATGATAGTGAGACAATATATGCCTGCAAAGCCTATCCAGAGGTCTTTGATTGACAGCTTGTTGACTGAGACGTCTTAAATCCGCTCTAACCAAACGGGGACAGTCATCCTCACAACCCAAACCACAGCTAATTGTGTTTCGGTAGAATTGCCGGCACAAATCAGAAAGCAATTTCTTTACTTTTGGA